ACTTATTCTGGCTTTTGTTTGATAGGCTATCTAGTGTCGGAAAAAATATTGTTGCACACTTCTAATTTGTAGTTTGCATAGTTAGCTTGGCTACTACATTATGTGACAACTTATGGCCACTGTTGCAAAAGTGTTATGTATCAGGTGTGAATGCAAGAGGCAATCTCCAGAGCTGAAAAATAGCCAATGTGAAAGTGTCAAAAATTGCAGATCATCTAATGGCCACTTGAGGCTGGCTCCAGAATCCAGTCATACCCCATAGACCCACATGTTCAAATGCAACTTCACAGCAACTTTAAAGCAGAAACATGTTTGGAGCCTGGTACAAAAAATGCTTTTGGTCTTCCAACATTCATAACAACTGTACAGGGGTTGAATTTGTATACAATTCACCTGTTTACATGTATTAAAGCTATGCATAATTAAGGGTTGGCCGCTATGAGTAACAGGTTATCTGCTAGGTGTATGAATCAGATCCACCCCTTGCTCCTCCACAGCTCCACCCTCTCGTCCAAATATGGTCACCTTTGGTGCAGCTTAATTGCTGAACTCAAGGCTTTAAACACAAGTTCACAAACCAATGGGTGACCTCAACTTAGCCTGCAGCACTGCTTTTTGAAAGGTAAAACTTGAGTCTATCCACTGTGCTGTAATTTTGGCCAGTATCGGACCAATACCAGTCCTGAGTATTGGATTGGACCATCCCTAATATATATATGCCTACTGAAAAATGAACTAACTGCTGTATATGAAGAAAGGTGAATTGGATCAGTATATGTAATTCATGCTGGATTAGCTTTCAGGTTAGCTGCTCATATACTTAAGTAAAGATGTGGGAGATCTAATAATCATAAAAACATAAACTTGGAGCGAGTCCTGTGGGTGTGGGAAATATATACTGTATTACTGCATCATTCCTGATTTCACATGACTGTATCACCAGGAGCTAAAACATAAATAATACTGTGCTCTTGATTCTTCTTTAACTTAACTTTCCTTTTAACTGCAATATTAGTCCTGCATAATTAGGCTTAAACTAGGCCAGAAGACAGTGTGCAGTGGTTGGAGCACTCATAGAACATCTGTCTGTCTGTCACAAAGCTCAATAAAGGTTATGCATTTAAAGAAACAGCAGATTTTGATTTTATTCCCATTCACTTTAAAAACTGATGTAGCACAGCGCCAATATTCTGAGTTTACAGGATGAAAATATTAATTAACTAAAAGGAAATGGTACTGTTGAATACCTATATCTCTGAGTGTGCATTCAGCCACGGGGTCTATAAATGAGATAATATAGATTATTATATAAATTGTTATTATTATTATAAATAATAAAATAAATAAATTATAATTATGATTTGATTCAGGACTTATGGATTAAGCTGAAAGTTGAATAATCAGTGATATTGGTTTTAGGTTGGAAACACACAAACTAAGCACTGATTGGTCCATGTGGCACATCCAGCAAAATCTGCATGGTGAAAGTCCTGCATAGTGTGGGAGGTTGGCAGCAGTCTCTCAGTTAAGAAAGTAGCCACACATTGTTGGGTGATTTGTGGCTGTGACAAGACCTCCAATCATTATAGAAACTTTTAAATAACTTTGCTTGTCATTTTTGCATCAAACACTGTAGTTGGAATGCAGATAATAAATGCTAAAGCTATAACTGTGTAGCAATATTATTAACAAAGTTTCAAAGTCCTTTACAGTAAAAAGAACACACAAGTGCAGTGAAGGAAGGTGGAAGCAAAACCAAACAACAAACACATAAAAACAAGGAGCAAAAGATCTAAAATGGCAGAAGAAGAACAGGAAAACCAGAGGAGACATATTTGATAGGTAAATATAAAGATATTTAAAGATGGAGGGCAGGTCAAAGAGTCACCAACAGAAATCATTTTTGTGACGCTAAAGGATCTCATGCATCGCAGCATCATGAGCAGACAAAGATAACGTTCCTGTGAACTGTTTGATAATTCAAGAGATCAATGGATGCAAACAAAATTTGGACAAACTGTCCCTTTAATTGTATAATACAAGATGAAAGCTCTATTTTTATTCAGTATTCCCTTCGATATGAAAAGTTTGGGTAATCCTCTCTGCATTATCCATCAGATTATGACCCGCATGTGATGAGTTATAATATATCTAGACTGACTACAGCAGCATTCAGTGCATGCATTCATAAACACAGTTCAGCAAGGAGACGATGCACATTTGTCCAAGAAGGACTTAACTTCACAGATATTGACTATCAATAAGCATGAAAAGCTGAAACCGTTTTCCCATCCCATAATCTTGTGGCCCCAATGTTGCAGACAGATCTCCAGACTGTAATCTGCAGAGTTCACTGAAGCATCAGACAGATGTGCGTGCAGGTTTTGCCTCCTTAGAATTAGTTCAGGAACAGCTGTGATGGGCTTAAGGCCAGTTGTCCACAGCCCTGATTTATCAGAATCAGAACCAGCCAGATGCTGTCAGACTCATTAGAAAATCTGCCACCCATACCCTGCTGCCAAACATTGTCAGTGTAAGATGTCTGATGTAGGGTGACCTCAAAAGGTATTTAGACAGCTTGAGTTTGAATTCCTGAACTTAGTGAATCTACAACTTATCCACAATCATGCATCTCATACTATGCTGTATTGTGATGGATACTGCAGTCTGAAACCTAAAATGTACTTACTCAACTACTTACTATATACTCAAAAAAATTGGAAGACACCAGTTCAGAGTGATGAAGCTTTGAACTTCATACTTAAGCAAAATTTCAGAATCCAGTTTTACAAAGAACAAAAACTTTGAATGTTGTGGATTCTGGGTCATTCCATGTCAAATATGATAGTTTTTGTTTATGTTTTAGGCTATTTGACATAAAAAATAAAGCATGTGATACATTTTTGCTGAATTTTGAGAACTGAATAGTGTTTTGCCCTTGGCAGTTTTTCATTTTTACCCCCTAAAAAACGTCTTAGATAGATAGGGGGCCTGCTACACCTGTAGCAGCCCCCCTCTAACCCATATCTATGATGCTGATAACTACTGAAACTTGACGAAACTGAAAGTGAAACCTAATGAAACTGAAGAAGTTCAGAAGGCTGTTATCAGCCCATTAAATGGCCATTGTCCGATATCATCATGAGCAGGTTGTTTAAGTTTTACAGTTAGTTTGGTTAGGTTTCCCTTTCAGTTTCGTTAGGTTTCACTTTCAGTTTCGTCAGGTTTAGGCACCAAAACTATGTAATTAGGTTTAAAAAGAGATCATGGTTTGGCTTAAAATAAGTATGTTCATTATGCAACATGACATGGAGAATTTAAATATGTCAGTTAACCCTTTAAACTCTCCAACAGAAATGGTCCACCAGTGCCTACATTGGTATTTTTGCTTACTGTGATGTCATCTCTTGTAGCATCTTTATGTGCTTCATATCTCTAAACTCTGTACAACCTGAGCTAAAAGGTTTTGAAATTGTGTCATTTAAAAAATACAAAAATCAAACAGAAAAATCAGATTAAAAAAAATACTGTCCAGCGACCTGTCCAGTCGCCAGACTATCGCAGGGCTGACACATAGAGACAGACAACCATTCACGCTCACATTCACATCTACGAACAATTTAGAGTTATCAGTTAACCTAATCCCCAATCTGCATGTCTTTGGACAGTGGGAGGAAGCCGGAGTGCCCCGGAGAGAACCCAGACTGACACGAGGAGAACATGCAAACTCTGCACAGAAGGGCACTATTTCTTAACTCAGTTTGAGTTATTTTAACTATGTACATTATTTAGTTTTCAAAATATGGTCATTTTTATGAGCAGAGTGAAAGGGCATGATAGATTCATCATTCATGACGTACTCCTCTTGCGCCATCTTGTGTTCTCACTTGGTTTTGCACAACACCTAATGTAGTGATGTCATTACATGCATACAGCCTAATGACACGGAAGACAGAAATCTTAGCTTTTTGCTGCAAAAAGAATGAATGTTCTGGCTATTATGGTTTTTATTTTAGATCAATATATCTAGAATTATGCAAACAATGTTCTTCCCTAGCCATTACGGGGGAATTCTGGGGGAATTCCAGCCAAATACCACATTTGCACAGTATGTAAGGTAAGGTAAGGTAAGGTCATGACGTGATGACACGGAAGACAGAAACCTCATCTTTCTGCTGCAAGAAGAATGAATGCTCTAGCTTCTTATTTTAGATCTATTGAAACAAGATCATACAAACAATGATCTCCTGTGACTGTCGAAGGGATGTCTGTTTTTTAGGGTTAAAATTTAAACGTTGTTCACTTTTGGTTTCACATGGGACACAAACAACACTCTCCTGTCCTATGATTGTTTGACCCATTCATATACTGCAACCTTTTAGGACTTTGTCACTCTGACCTTACTACAACCCCTAGAGGTCGCCTCCTAACAAATAGGCTGATAACAGCCTTCTGAACCTACTAGTAGGTGTAGCAGACTTCTTCTAGTATCAGATGGTTGAAATGCATGAAAACACACAAGGATTCTCTATTACATTTTACTTTAAAGTAGGTTTCTAGAATACATTTTCCACAGAAACCTACTTAATGCAGAGAGTACAGTCAAAACGGAATGTGTAAATGTATGTTTTTTCAGACTTCACTTTGTCATTGATAAGTGGATACTTGTCTCTGCAGATCCACATTTATATCTTACTATTGTTTTGAATTCAGTTAATTTTTTTTGTTCATTGTTCACTTGCATTCCTATTAGTTGTAACCTGGGCAATGACTTTTCTTCCTGGGGTCCATTCAATTACCAAAATTTGTAACACTACTATATGGGAGTTTAATAGACATATTAAAAGTTACCAATCATCAAAACAGGCATAGAGAATATTTACATGCGTTTGAAAACCTGGACCTGCACTCTCTACCCTTCTTCTTTATTTGAGGATGTTTTACCTGTTTTCAGAGTGTGTGTTTGAGATGTTGAGCTGCCTCCATGCTCTCTTCCTCAGATATGCTGTTGCTGTGGACCAGCTCCCTGCTCGCTCTGCTGTGCCTTTTGTCCTCCAGTCAAATCGTCCACTAGCACGCGGGTCATGTACACCCTCTTCCACATCATGAGCTGCGCCGTCTCTTGCCTCATGCTGTCCCGCACCGTCTCCGAGCTTGTCAGAGAAAATGTGCGTACTGGGATCCTATCCTCCATGACACAAATCAAAGACATCAGCTGAAATATACAAGATACTGTATCATACTGATCATACTGTACAAAAGTCCTGACAGAAAGAACTCACTGTAAAAACACATTTGGAGTAAGCAGGGAGAAGAAAATGCTCATGGGGTTCAGCTCCTTCAACACCCCAGGGTGCTTCGGACTGGCTGCAGGTAAACAGATATACCAGACAGCAGGATAGCGAGGACGACACACTGTCAATGTGACCTTTACAGGGACAAGAACATGATAGACACAGCGAGAATACATGTGTGACTTTACTTTAGGACCTGATATTGTTTTACACTGAGTGCAGACAACAGCTGTAAAACCTATTAGGTCAGTAGTAGGGCATGCTGGTGACCTGTACGTGAGATACAACCGCAATGTCCACGGTTAAATGTTAAAGTAATGCTTACACATAAATGCAATATAATATGCTATTGTTCTAGAATGAGCCATTCTGCATTATGAGTACTTTTACTTTTGGTACTTGAAGTACCAAAAATTTAAATTCTAGTACTTTTGTACTTTTACTCAAGTCAAATTTTGAATGCAGGAATCTTACTTGTATCTGAAAACTTCTACACTGTGGTTATGATACGTTCACTTAAGTAAAAGCTTTGAGTACTGTTTCTATCACTGCTTCGGACCTTTGGTTTATGTCATAGCCCTCTGCTCTGCTCTGTCTGAATCTATTCCTATCAGCCATCCAGTGGAGGCCAAAATGCCTAGATGTTATTGTTCAGCTGAACTTCAGTGAGCTTTACTGGCAACATGGAGTGCAAAAAATATATTGTTTCATGATATTTCATTATGTAAAAATGTGATCATGTGCATCACACATTTAAAAAATTGATCCAAATATCAACTAACCCAATAATATCTCCAAAAGTGTTTGCCTTTTTTGTTTTCATACTTTAAAAAATGGAGGGAACAATGAAATATCAGTGAAAAAAACAAAAGACTTTAACTGCTTTCTGAAACTGCTCTCCCACTGATTTTATTTAAAAGAAAAGAAACAACACAACTTCTCTTTGTCCTTTAAGTTAGCATTTGGAGGACAGTAGTTTAGCCAAGTTCGGTGCCATTTGTTCTTAATGTGAATAATGTAGTCTCATCTTGGAATTTAAGAGTTTAAATCATTTTTATTATCAGAAAATGTGACCAAAATACCTTGGCAGCAAAGGGGCTGCTCTGGCTACAACTAATTAGGATCCTAATAAATGAAATCTTCTGAAATCTTCACCCAGCCAGCCAGCCAGCCAGCCAGCCAGCCAGCCAGTCAGTCAGTCAGTCAGTCAGTCAGACACACGCACGCACGCACGCACGCACGCACGCACGCACGCACACACGCACACACACACACACACACACACACACACACGGATGTGGTGGTAGGGCATAAAAAATATGTTTGTATGTGTGTGTGTGTGTGTGTGTGTGTTTCAGGTGCCTTTCTTTAACATGGTGTGTGACCAGGCGCATGGCGGAGGCCACTGTGAAATGCTGGTGGGCTACTCAGCGGTCTACAGAGTCTGCTTTGGCACTTCCTGTTTCTACCTGATGATGGCGATCTTCCTCATAGATGTGAAGTCCAGTCAGGACTTCAGAGCACTCATACACAACGGGTCAGTGCTGCAGAGTTGACCTCTCAAACATGGTTCTGCTCAACAAACCAGAGACACTGTGACTGTGATTTTTCATGTTTTTTTTTTAGTTTTTTTTTTTGGTAGAGAAATCTGCTTATTGATATTTTAATTAACAAACCAACACATTGAAAACATTGAACACGCTAATAATATAAAATATTACTAAAGCAGTACAGAATTTAAATTCACAGACACATAAAAAACAGTAGGACATGCACAGTAAATATACAGTAGCCTATGAATATTGACAAAGGTACAAAGCTGCTTTACATGGTGATTACTGACATTTTGGGCTGCGATTGATAATTGTTTTGATGATTGATTAATCTGCCAGTTATTTCCAAAATTAATTGATTAATTGTGTGGTCTATAAAATGTCAGAAGAAAGTAAAATTATTTACACAGTAATATCCAAGATAATATCTTGTTTTGTCCATCCAGAACCCAAAGATATTCAGTTTAATATGATATAAAACAGAGAGAAGTAGAAAAATCTCCATGTTTGAGAGGCTGAAAGCAGCATTTTCTGCCATTTTTCATGGAAATCTAGAAAAGTGCACTCTTTAGAATGAGATCTCTGCCAGGGCCATGGTCACTCTGGACAATTCTGTCTCTTCACAGCTCCACCCTCTTGCCCAAGTATAAAAAGAGCAAGATGGAGACAGCTGAAATGACGAACTTGAAGCTTCAAAACAGGAGTCCACAAACTAATGGGTGACCCCATTTTATATAGCCTACTTAGGCTACTTATTTAGAGTAGAAGCACAAATACAAAGGAGACATGACAAAACCAACAAAATTAGGAAGACAAAACACTTTGCGTCTAAATACGCTCCCACTGTGGTGTGACGTCAAGTGGTGGATGTAACAAAACAGGGTCACAGCTGGACACCAACAAAGCTGTGCCTGGTGGAATTGTCCCTCCTTGTTCCATTACAGTTAAGATGGCTGTGAAGATAACACAAAAATGGAGATACATTTATCTCGCACTGTGCCTAACTTTAGTGGATTATACATTATCAACATATCAGGTATGGAATTAATCTGCAGTTGCTCCAGTTCAAAATCAAACTAAACTTTTCTTTGGGTGTCAGTTTTTGAGCCACAACGAAGGCCAAACTGTGGTCTGTAACAGACAGTAAGGCTTGTTGTATTTAGCTGAGCTGATTTCTGGAAAACTTGCAGAGGAGTGAGGTTTCAGCAGTCATTGATGGAATGAGACAGTGAATTAAAGGTTTTTCAACAATTGTGCATCACTGCAACCATGAGAAGTTCTTGAGTATACCATCATACATGTGCACACAAATTATTAGGCTAATTGATCCATTAGCTTGCAAGATCAGCTGCAGGTAGACAGATACACACACTCACATATGCACACATACACACTGACCAAACACATGATCCCCTCCAGGCGTACGCCTAGTGGCAATAACAATCACTTTTTGATTATAAAATTGGTTAGTTAATGATTACTTTTCTATCGAATGACAAATTGATTATTCAACTAATCACTCTCAACATCTCACATTAGGTATAAACTAGTTATTGGAGCAAAGCGTTATTTGGATTTTATTGCATAGCTTCTCTAAATAACCATGGAGGGGTTGTCAGGTCTTATGGTTTTCCATTTTTTCCAGTTGAAGGTGTTGCATAACATCGTTGATCACCAAGGTTTAAGTGGGATGTCGTGCCTGTTTTAGAGTGTTTTCTCTAAAGTCTCAAGTGTAGGTAATTATCAGAATGATGTGGATTGTTATACATAATTCAGACAAACAATAAACAAGTTACTCTGTGATGGATTTCCAGATATTAATGAATGAATACAACACTGTTCTTTTTTACAAATCTGGGGCTTTTGAACTTGCGCATGAACACAGCATAACAGTCATGCCTGAAAAACAAAAAGACAAATTCAACATAAATTACAACAAGTTCTTTTTAAATCTTTTATTGATCCAGCTGACAAACAGGAGATCAGAAAAATAGACATGGACTGAAGACATGACCTCTTTCCAGCTCCTTCCAGAAACCTCAAATCTCCAAATGTACCTTGAAAAAATCCATAATAACCCTTTGGACACGTTCCCTCAATCTTCCTGACATAAGCTTGGGAAATTTCTCTGAATTCACAATTAAGTTCTAAAGATCCTGATGTCATTTTCCTGAATCAGAATATTTAAAATGAACCTAATCCACACTGTCTTGAATTAGACACATCTTCAAATACTTCACTACAGTCTGTAAAGGCTAAGTGCTTTCTCCCTGAGCTCACCTGACCTGGCCAGCTGAGTTATTTAAAGCTCTTAGTTGTCACACTTTCCATTGCAGTCAGTGACGTGGCTCAGATTAGGATTTAACAGACTAGATTGCTGCTCCTGTCTTCTATAAATCTACTCATAAGAGTCTTATTGGTGCCACAGTGAAAGGGTTTAGGGTCTTTGGCAAAGGTTACAGCTTGTAGTGGTCTGTATGGGGGGTCAGTGTGTGACCCAGTGCCAGGCCAAAACCTTGTAGGTGTGTATGTTTAAAGACCAGACAGAGTCACACGGGCAGGCAGGGACCTGATTAAAGGCTCAGTCTGTAATTGTATTCACATATATCACTGACAAGTTATCCCTGTACATGGAAAAAAAAAGTTACTGTATCTATTTCTCAGTTGATATTATTTTGAACTATAGGTTATATAATTAATTATGTTTTGTTTATTTCAATGCTTTCAGACAATACTGTTGTAAGATATCCAGTAGTGGCTTGTGGTGAAATTGGGTGGGAGGGCTAACGCATCACTAGCCAGTCTGGATCTGAAAGTCCCACAGGATCTATCTTGGTTATTCTCAAACACCTCAGGAGGTGTCTTCCATTCTGACCTTGGGACTTCCAGCCTGTACTCGTCGCAGATGTTCCAGTACACTATGCCAGCCACTTGGTTATGGGGTTCCTGCCTGCTGCTGTCTTTGCACAGCCTGCACCTGGGGTCCTGTCTGGTGCTGTAGACCCCTGCTTTTATTGATCTTGTACTAAGTGCCTGTTCTTGTGCTGCCATGATTAGTGCTTCTGTGCTGTCCTTCAGTCCAGCCTTTTCTGGCCACTAGTAAGATTTCTTGATTTCAGCCACTTCTTCAATCTGTCGGTGGTACATGCCGTGCAGGGGCTTGTCCTTCCATGATTGTTCATCCTCCTCTTCTGCATTCTCGGGTTTCTGCTGTCTGAGGTATTCACTCAGCAGCCCATCTTTAGGGGCCATCTTCCCGATGTATTCCTGGATCTTGGTTGTTTTGTCTTGGGCAGTGGCTCTCAGCTTTAAGAAATTGATTGTCTTGATATTAGTGGCCTCTATCTCCTTCTTTGGCCAGCTTATTATACCAGCAGGGTATCTGATGACTGGCAGGGTGTACATGTTGATGGCTTGGACCTTGTTCTTTCCGTTCAGCTGACCTGCCTTACTCTGTGTAGGTGTTTGGCTGTGGCTAACTTCCTTGCGGCCTCCTCATGGTTCCAAGTTACCAACAGGACCCCCAAGGTATTTGTAACTGCCCTGAACATCTGCAATGTTGCCTTCTGGTAGTTCAGTCTTCTCGGTTCTGATCATCTTCCCTCTCTTTGACACCATCCGACCACACTTCTCTATTGAGCAGTAGCTGGTTCTTGGCTCCCCTATTATTACTACCAATTCCTCTCTGGGCCTTGCTTATGTACTGCCTATTCATCTAAGCTACTATAATACCTGACAGAAGCTTTTGTGTTGTACAGAGACAGGTTAATGGCCAGTGGTCCCCCTGTCTGGGGACTGTCCCATCCATTAGCAGCTGGTTCATTTTTACTTGTGTACTAGTACGAGGTACTAGTGTACCTTGAGGTATACTAGCAGTTTTAAGATCCTTGTCTGATCAGAATTCGAACCCTGGTCTCCCGCGCTAAAGCCAGTAGCCCACTGAGCTATCCATATATACATATAAATCACAGGCAAAACTCTGTTGTCACATTGCAGTATACAAAGCCCACAAGTAATGTTTTTTATTATTGATTAAGGTGACATCTTGAAATCATTTTCCAACCAACAGGCCAAAACCCAAATATGTTTTATTTAAAATGAGACATATATCAGAGAAGCAGAAAATACTCAGATTTTAGGAGCTGGAACCAGTAAATATTTGACATTTTTTGCTTGAAAAATTACCTAATTTTCAGCTGGTTGATTAATCTATTATTAGCACTGCTCTGCTAAAAGCAAATAAAGATAAGAAGTCTATATATCTTAGCTCTTAGTTTTATTCTGGACATGTAATATTATCATACCACAGCAGAAATATAAAAGCTTATACCTTGAAGATTCAAGGTCATCTTTATTGTGCTACTCGGGGAAGTGTGTCTTGCAGCCAGGGTTCACATAAAAACAGAAAAGAAGAAAAATGATTTGCAAAGAGATTATTTGTAATGTACTGATTCCATTACTTGCAGTAAAAGGACTAAAACTTGCAAAACTGGTACCATGACCATGACTGGTGCCATAAAAACATGACCATTTAAGGTCTTGTTTTCTGGTTTTGATTGTTACTTCTGTGTCATCTTTCCATGTGTCCACCATGTGTTCACCTGCAGCTTCTGGTTCCTGAAGTTCATCACTCTGCTTGGGATGTGTACCGCTGCCTTCTTCATCCCAACAGAGTCCTTCCTGCACGGTAAGAGACTGAGCTGAATCCGTTTCCCGAAGAGCAATCCACATTGAGAATAAATGTGATGGTAAAAATGGTGTTGGTGCAGCTCCGTCTGAGTCCTGCCAGAGGGCAACAGAGACCTGATCTTCAGGTCCAGTCACTGCTGTAAGTTATTGGGCCATAAATCTCTGCAGCTTGATTTTACCTCTGATGGTGATACAAGGCAAATATCAGAGCTGATTTATGGTTCACAGCTTTTTTTTGTCTGTCTTTCTCTCTGTTTGCCTCTCTCGCTCTCACTTTCCTGTAATAAATTTCACTGTATGTTTCTTCTTCTTCTCTCTCGTTCTCTCAGCTTGGCATTATGTTGGGGTGGTGGGAGGGTTTGCCTTCATCCTCATCCAGCTCATCCTCATTACAGCTTTTGCACACACCTGGAACAAGAACTGGTGAGTAAGAGGGTTATATGAAAAAATATGATATGACTGTAAATGTATTTTTATGTTGTGACATAAATCCTAATATGGATTTCTGAAATTTGTAAGACAAATTGGTGACAGATAAAGCCCATATGTGAATTAAATGGCCCAAAGTAAGTGGACACACCTGTCCTCATTAGCTCCAATTTAAGACAATGTTAATGCTGCAGTATATTATTGTATATATTCCTTTTTCATCATGAAAATAGTCATGATGTGCTATAAGCCAGCTCCATAAAGAAATGGTTTTCCAAGGCTGGTATGGGAGACCTTTACTGGCTTGCACGGAGCCCGACCTCAACCTCATTTAACACCTCTGGGATGAACTGGAACAATTCAGACATTAGCAGCCAACATCAGTGTAGGCCCTTCAGTGGAGCTTATGCTCTTGTGTCTGAATGGCAGCAAGTCCCTGCAGCCAGATTGAACATCTGGAAAGCCTGAAATCAGAAGAGTGGAGGCAGTCAGAGCAGCGGATTAATGCTCTTAGTTTTTGAAATGAAATGAGGTCGAGTCAGGCATAGGTGTAATGTTTGTCCACATACTTTTGGCTGTATAGTGTATCTAACTTCATCACATTGGTTCAAAAAGCTTACTCATTGATTCGCTTATAGCTCACAGTGGTCCAGGAGACAATTAATAGGGGGTCACAAGAGGAAAAAGCCACAAGTCACAAGTGGACATTGCTTTTTCTCAAGGGGTCACAAGCCAGAAAAAGATGGAGGTGACTAATCTAATAACCACTAGTAAAAATAAAGGAACCCTGCAGCTATGTGACTATAAATTGTGTCTGCAGAAAAGATTCAGTGGTCAGCTGGTGGGACAGGTGATTTAACAGACATCATGTGTAGCTGCTGCTGGTCAACATGTACAGCTCATACATACATGGTGTTGCTGTCCAGTGAAAACCACAGGTCAGGAAAATGTGAAAGTGAACAAAATTGTCCATCTTGCATTTAAAAAATGATCCTACTTCTTAGACAAATAAAACCATTGGGAGTGTAATGGTGGGGCTGCAGTGACTCAAAAAGGAAAATAATGCCAAATAATAATTTAAAAAATAATGACAAGATGACAAAATAAAACTCCACTGGATTATCTAAACATATTGTCATAAAGTACAGCTGTTTTTCTTTATTTGTAAAAAGTTGACATTTTGAAGATACATGGTTCCCACAGGACAGTGATAATATGCTTTTTGAGGCAAGGGCACAATGGGCTCCAGGGCGTGTCAAGGTGAAGGGCCTCCCTGAGCCTAGAGGCCCCTGGGCCTGGGCCTGGTTGGCTTATTTGGTAATACTGCCATGACCTGAGGTCCCCCACAGCTTCATATAGAAATATTGGTAAATGGTAAATGGACCTGCATTGTATAGCGCCTTTCTAGTCATCTAGTGACCACTCAAAGTGCTTTTTACACTATGAGTCACGTTCACCCATTCACACACACATTCATACACTGGTGGCCGAGGCTACCATACAAGGTGCCACCTGCTACTCAGTTTTAACACACTCACACAACGATGGAACAGCCATCGGGAGCAATTTGGGGTTCAGTATCTTGCTCAAGGATACTTCGACATGCAGCCTGGATTGAACCGCTGATCTTTCGATTGGTGGACAACCCGTTCTACCTCTGAGCCACAGCCGCCCTGTACATGTACACACAGAGACTGCAGTCTGGTTCACATCTGAAGAACATCTCTTCTTCACTGGTGATGATGGTTAGTGGTGTCTGTAGTAACTCAGTAACTCAATAAATGGTCCGTGAAAAAAATGTTTTTTTCAGCGGATATCTTAGTTACAACATGATTGAGCTAGCAAAGCAATTTTGTGTTGCTATGTGTGGTATTTATTCAGTTTTGGGAAATCACGATGTCTAGAGAGCATCAGTGGCTGCAGCTGATGCAGCTGAGGGACAGCTAACAGCGACAGCTAACAGCAGCAGCAAAGCTAACATCAGGACGTCGTCTGTTAAAAGCCTCCTGTTGTTGGATACAACATGAAATTACTCCAGTTAGCTCAATCATGTTGTAACTAAGACATCCACTGGAAAAAAAATTTTTTTTCATGTTGATGAGACGGCGTTTTGGGTGGAGCGGTCGCCATGGACGCGGAGCTTGCTGTTTCTGTAGGTACACATTTCCTGGGGACACCTGCACGTCTTGGCCCCGCCCCCTCCACTGTGATTGGCTAAAGCCCCCCGTACTCGTCTTTCACACAGGGCTGCCGACAGATTCTACAATGTAAATTGCAGAATCTGTCTTGAGAGATTACTCTTCTATCTATTGCAATAATATAGATAATTAATGTGCAAAGCAAAATTTATAAATAGAAATAAGAATAGTATTGGTGACATAGCTGTGGAAATGAATGGCAAAGTCGCTTTTATGCTATAGATATTGTCTCTCAGCCAGTTATATTCTCTTCTCGCCTGCGAAGACTAGGGATGCACCGGAATGAAAATTTGTGGCCGAAGCTGAATAAAATTAAATGCTTGGCCGAATACCAAGTACCAAATACCGTTGTTTAGTTTTTCATTAGTTTTTGCAGATGAACCCCCTCCAAATTAGTGTTGTCACGATACCAAAATTGGGACCCATGGTACGGTACCAGTGAAAATATCATGGTTCTGAGTAGTATCACGATACCACAGCAAAAATTAGGCAGATGTGCCTTTTGTCATTTATAAAAAGATAAATCACTTTTCTATAATACATCAATGATATTTCAATGGAATAAATTACTTATTGACTTTCATACTTCAAAAACAGCATCAATAAGTGATTAACATAGGGGGGATCAAAATAAAATAAATAAATAAAATAAAGGGGCGTCGGTGGCTTAGTGGTAGAGTAGGCGCCCCATGTACAAGGCTGTTGCCACAGCGGCCCGGGTGTGACTCCAGCCTGTGGCCCTTTGCTGCATGTCTCTCCCTCTCTTTCTCCCCCTTTCACACTTCACGCAAAAAATGCCCTAAAAAAATATCTTAGAAGAATAGATAAATAAATAAATAAATAAAATAAAAATCAACCAGCCACCCTCCTCCCCTGACAAGTAAAGAACAGTCCCTTCATAAGTAAAGAACAGTCCGGTGCGGTGAGGTTTGTGGACCGTTACCTGCCACAAAGAGAGAAATGTGAACGGCTCGTTTCTCCTCTGACACATCACATACTTGTGTGCCGCCACGGCTCGGCTGTCCAGGTACTTTCATGACAGCAAGAAGAGGAAATTATTGGAGCCAGGCTTCTCCGTCGCCGCTAAGCCATTATCTTGCGCTGCGGAGAACTATGGCTGCCGTATCCTGTCTGTGTCTGTGACCCCCGTTCAACCCACAACCGGCGGGATTCGCCTTTCGTTTCTGCTGCTGGTTGAAATCTGTACTCCAGGCTGAATGATTAATTTTACTTGCACTAAACTATTTTTATTCGCAAATGCGAGTGCAGTGACGGACGGAGTAAAATATCGCCACACTGCCGACATTTTACTCCGTCCATCACCGCAAGCTGTTTGATTGCGATATCAAAACATGCCGCTATTATTCAGCCTTGCTTTTCACTTATTCCACTGAATACCGGATGTGTGTTTTTTTGCAATATTAGGCCGAATATATTCAGTTACCGAATATTCCTAGTGAAGACCCTGCATGATCATCCTTGCTGGTCTCTGGTCCACTGTCTCCTCCCTGACCCTGCTCTTTCATTGTAGCAATAAAGATTAAAAAAAATATGTGGAAAGCAAAATTTTGAAAAAGAATTAGGAATAGTAGTCGTGAAATTGCTGTGGAAATTAACCTCATAGTCAGTTTTATGCTATAGATATTTTCTCTCAGCGAGTTATAATCTCTTCTCACCTGTGAAGACCCTGCATGATCATCCTTGTTGGCCTCTGGTCCACTGTCTCCTCCCTGACCCTGCTCTTTCTATTGTGGCATTATTCCTAGCATGAAACAAGCGATTTAACATAGGTAACAATAACATTAGTATTCTTGTTAATTTTAACTCCTTCATAAAATGTTGGGTAGTTTAATCCACAGCAATGCATCATATTCTATAAGATCATCGTATGTTTGTAGCGTGGCTGTCCTGTGAGCACCACGAATCTCTAAAAAGTCGGCCTTTCATGGTGTCAGAAAAACAGCCCTGTTTTCAGCTTTGTGACGATGCATTTACCAGCTGATCCATGAGAGTTTCTAAAGAGTTTATTTAGCTTGCATATAGATAATGTTAGCTAAATGATGACTAATTAATAGATGCATTACTCAACTTACATGGTTTGTTTGGAAGAAACTGTGCAAGGTTTTTTGCTTCTTGCTGGCTGGTTTGCTGAACATAGTTAACACACAGCAGCACTGCCCAGCAGCACACGTCTCCTCTGTGCGATTGATTCAGATCACAAAATGACAGCATGTGTATGCCCTGGCGTGGCGCCGTCTGCTCATGGTGTGTTTAAAGACAGCTTGGAAAAATACGTTATCACATGTTCAAAACGAATTCAATGGTTGTAACGGCTGTGAAAGTGCGGGGGACAGAGGGCACAGATACGGGAAGTGTGGGGGACATGTCCCACGCGTACCCCGCGTCCACTACGCCCATGGAAGTGTGTAAATCACACAGAACAACATCTGTCCCTTTTGTCTCAACATCTGGAACTTTATTACTGTTTCATTTACGTGGCTTTAATTTTTGGTTGCTGGGTTGCTGTTTTAGTCTTTCTTGCCAGTTGATGGTTTTTATTTTGGTTTTTATTTTGGATTTTTGATCTTTCCTTCATTTTATATTATTTATTAATTCATTTCAGTCAGAGACACTTTGAAGAAGGAATTGTTCATTTGTGTAATCAGATTTGTTCCGTCTTGGAGCTCAGCAGTCCAAAACCTTGAAAATATGCTGTTTATTATCAAATATGAAAGAAAAGCATCAGATCCTCTTGATATTTAAGAAACCAGCAATAAATGTTTGGCATCTTTGCTT